TGCTTATTTATTGAACAACATTTCACTGGAAACCAAAAAAAGATAAGATTATGAGTATTAATAATGAAGCGCAAGCCTCCAGGCTTCACTACGAGACACGTTTCTATCTGAGCATCTCAAGAATATTTATTTGTTGAGTTTTTAGTTTGCAACATCATGTTCATGGATTTAACATCAAGCTCCTAGACTACTTCTGAAACGATGTTTTATCACTGAAGTGAAGCCACACGTCTTAGACGCATGAGAAAATATGAAACAAAATGAAATATGGACCCGTTTGAAAACAAAAATGAAAATAGAATTAATTATAAAACCACTCAATGCAGAGGAAAATTTTTACAGAATTGAATAGTGAATTATATTTTCAACAGAAAAAATTCTACGGAAAGATGAATCAAAATTATACACCTATTAAACTGGAGCTTGAACTAGGGTACAGTTTCAGCTGCATGTAATTTTATCGTATGAAAGAAGAAAGTAAAGAATGACAAGGATGTGATCACGTTCTGTGACAATTTTTTACATGGAATCTGAAGAGAGAATTTTTTGGCTTTCATCTGTGAAACATCATCATTGCAAAGGGCCCGATTTTTCAAATTACCTAGAAATGGTCTGATTGTTAACCTATTCTGAGTCTAAAGTACAACGATGAGCAGATGATGAACTGTTCATCTGAGACTGATTGTCTCGTTGTAGCAGACGTATAAGAGTCTGCGATTAAAACGCATCGGAATCTCAATCGCTAAATGAATGGAATATTGCATGAGTGAAGAAAAGCTCACAATGAATATCGCAGCAATTGAATGCCACCGAAACTTTGATCATTCACAGACATCTTCAGTAAAAACTTTAGCAATAGACTGGTCATTTAGAAAAATCCGGCAACAGCACATTCAGTCAATCGGAAATCGTTGCACCCTCCAATAGCGGATTATCAGACTGAGTCTTTTAAGTTCATTGATGAGAAACTGAGAACAGAGCAGAGTTCAGAACAGACCATAATCTTGCGGCACAATCATACTGAACAAAATTAGAATGTTGCTCTCAATAGAAGTTTGCAAAGAAACAAAATGAAGTCGATCCAAATGAAAAGTGACGAGAGGTGGGCATTTTTTGGTACAGTAGGAAAAATGCGGTAACAGCACATTTAGGAATTCGAATTCCGATGATTGAATTGTGCTATTGAACAGCTGGAAAGTCATTGGCTGCTTTAGACGTTACGGTCATTCCAGTTGATGCGGTATTGCATCGATTCCGTAGCATCTGCAAATCAGTTCGATTCATTTCGTTTCTCTTATTACACCGTATACTAAGCCAATTATTGCTTTTTTATGTGGTAATCAAATCTGACAGTTTGCTCACGTCGCACACTTAATTTACTAACAATTTTCGATCTCTTCCAGCATCACTGGTCAGATAGAATGTCGAAAATTGCGCGACCGCTCGAATGATAATCGTGCTAAGATGAAAAATATGAAAAAAAATTAGTGGTAATGAAGGTTGATGACAGAATTAAACAGTACGCGATTCAAACAACCAGCAGACTCAAAGCCAATGATCAGTTGAAATTTAGCAAGTCAGATTTTTGAGTCGGTCTTAGCAGAAAGTAAATCAAACGATGATCAACGCTAGAATAATAAAACATTTTTGATTCGTCTGCTTCAATGATGATTCAGTCGGAATGATCATGTTGAAACGGCAAATGATTTAAAATTTCTAATGTGATGGTAATGAAACGCTTACAGGAAGAACCGGGTACTCATCGTAACGACTGTAAGGTGGTGGCCAGGCCAATGGAGACACCGTTAGATCAGGAGGAATATCGCGAGGATTTGGTAGATTATAGTAATCATTGTTGGCTGGATTGGCTGGGATCGAATGTTGTTGCTGTGGAAATGGTTCAGATAGCATATGATCATATTGAGGCAAATTCGAATATGGAATATACGGAGGATTATAAACTGGTGAAGCGGTATTTGTCGAATACGGTGGGCAGCAAGCTGAAATTCGTGGTGAATACATCAGTGAGATCTGAATAAATTTATCCCAAGCAAGATAAATAACATTCTGACAAATTACGGCTCTGCCATAACAACGGAACTGTCACCTGGATATGGTGGTGGAGGAATCGGCGCCTGACCAATACCCACTGGTTGCCCAACTGGCGAGAGTTGACCTTGTTGATCTCGACGT